GTGCGTAACCCGAGCGAAGGCGCCCAGCTGGACGGGGCGGGACGGCGTGCCTTCCAGAGCCAGCAGCGCCAGACTGAACGTGGAACCCCGACCCAGCGCGGCCAGCCCTGTAGGAACAGCCTGGCTAGGCGTTTCCGAAAAGAACCTTTATACTCGTGAGCTTTCACTGTCCTGTGTTTACTCCATTTAAGCCTCACAACTCGGGGCCGGTACGATGATCATACAGAAGAGGAAACTGGGAGATAAGCGTGCACCTAAAGGAATGCAGCCGAGGAAGGGCCTGGGTCTAGTGGGGCCTCCCTAGCAGCTCCTCCCCACCCGGTCACCCGGTCGCCCGGTCGCCCATACCCCGTGGCTGCTGCCATGACGCAGCCGCCTGGTTCCGCTGCCTCCCCTACGCAGCAGCCGTCGGGGTCGTGGCTGAGGCCGAGGCTGTGGCCTATCTCGTGGGCCATGGTAGCTGCAGCGCCGATGGGGAGCTCCGAGTGATCCTGCGAGGGCGCGGGCGCAGGACGGTCACTGCAGGTTGCGGAGACCGCCCCCCACCTCTCCTGTTGTTCAGTGTCCTGTCCGCCGAGCTCACCGCGGTTACGCCTCCAGAGCTCTCTACGAGGCACATGCCTTCCACGGGTGCCAGGCCCACAGTGTCGCCCTGGAAAGCGCGGCCCCTGAAGGTGGAGCGCAGCGTGACCTGGTGATGCGCACGGGGAGGAGGAGCTGCCCAGCCGGGGACCCGTGTGGGGATGGGAGGCACCCACGTGAGCAGCTGCGTGGAGTCGTGTGGCCGCCGCCCCCACAGCCCCCGGCGCCACCGCAGGAAAGTCCAGAGCGTGTTGTTCGCGTCCGGCGTGATCCGGATCTGGTCCTGCTCGGTCCATACTTCCAGGCCGGTCAGCGCCACCTGAATGTCCAGGGTCCTGAGAATCTATGGTCAGGGCAGGACGGGCCTGAAGGGACCAGGCACACCATCCTGCTGGTGACCCCTCTCTTTCCCCCTACATGCTCTCTCCTCATCTCCAAGCCTGCCTTCTCCAGCTGACCGCCCCTGGATTGACCAGCGGTACATTCTCCAAATGTCTTCCCCGCCCCTGTGGCCGCCACTACCAACCTGGTCCACGTAGTTGGCCATCTCCAGAAGCCGCTGTTTGGTGTGGTTTAAGTCCCGGTGCTGGGTCACAAACTGGAAAGGCAGCAATATGGTGATGTGACAGGCTGACTGGCCCCTCTCAGCCAGGCCGCCCCCTGGAGTCTCCTCTCACCAGGGCGTGATCCGCCACTATGTACAGCTCTAGGTACTTCGGGCTTCGCTGGGCTTCCCGCCAGTCCTGCGGAGAGGCAACAGTGACCCTGAGTGGCAAGCTGCTGGCTTGAGCCCTGACCACCAACCCCAACCCCAGGAAAGCACAAAGGTAACTTTAAAATTTTTCAAGAACTTGTTTCTTCAGCCTGCAAATAAAACATCAGGACAGGAGACCCTGAACATGGGTCACACCTTCCTGTCTTTCGGATTTGGAGGGCTGGGATACTGCATTCCCACTCCCACCCCTGTCTGTGCCCCTGACCCTGATCTTGGTGGCAGGAGAAAGGCTGGTCATGTTCTTTTTGTCTTCAGGATCCTTGTGGCCACAGGCCCCTTTCCAGCTAAGTAGCTGCTCGGTCCAGAAGATCCTGTGGGTTGCGGCACCCTGGGCATCCCCAGCTGGCCAGGGATGCACATAATAGCTGGCATTGCTGCTGAGCGTGATCAGACCCCTAGGATGCAAGGGGTGCAGAAGGGGCGTGAGCAAATTCTTACCCCTGCCCCAGGCCCAGGCCCTCCCCCAGAACTCCTCACCTTATACCAGAGCAGGTGCTCAGGACTACCCAGGAGTCCGGGAAGCCCCTCACGTGCCCATGGTAATGGCAATGATCCTGGAGAGCAAGGGATCCAGCCTCAAATCTCAGCCAGGACTGAAGTGGGAAGGGCAGGCTGGGGGTGGGGAGGGGTTGGCTCCAGCCTCTCCTTAGGAACAGGAGAATGGGGAAGGAATGATGGGGAGGCCCTCGGGGAGGGCATGCCTAGCACCCCTCACCCTGACCTCAGTGCCCATGGAAGTATCTCACCCTCTGGTTGGGGACCAGCACCACTGGCTGCCCATCTGGGCTGTAGTGGGTTTCTGTGTATCCTGCGGCCAGCAGCCTGCTGGGAAGGGGTGTTGTAGGGATCACCTAACTCAGCTCTGCCTCTTCCAGGATGCCCTCCAGCCTTCCTCCCTGAATGCTAATGGAGCAGCTCTGAGTGAGGCACAGGGCTAGCACTTAAGAAGCACCCAGCCCGGCCCCTGTTGCTCAGTGGTTTAGCATCGACCTATGAACCAGGGAGTAACGATTGGATTCCTGGTCAGGGCACAGGCCGGGGTTGCAGGCTCGATCCCCAGGAGGGGGTGTGCAGGAGGCAGCTGATCAATGATTCTCTCTCATCATTCCATCTCTCTCTCCCTCTCTGAAATCAATAAAAATATTTTTTTAAAAAAGAAGCACCCACAGTGTGTCTTAGGAAAGGGACAGGAATGACTGACTGTGTGTTGCTTAGCTCAGAAAAACCTTGGGCTAGAGCAGCGGTTCTCAACCTGTGAGTCATGACCCCTTTGGGGGTCTAACAACCCTTTCACAGGGGTCGCCTAAGACCATTGGAAAACACATATATAATTACATATTGTTTTTGTGATTAACCACTATGCTTTAATTATGTTCAATTTGTAACAATGAAAATACATCCTGCATATCAGACATTTACATTACGATTCATAACAGTAGCAACATTACAGTTATGAAGTAGCCACGAAAATAATTTTATGGTTGGGGCTTCACCACAACATGAGGAACTGTATTAAAGGGTCGCGGCATTAGGAAGGTTGAGAACCACTGGGCTAGAGGGAGAAAAGTGAAGAGCAGGAAGGAGGCTTGGTGGTGGCTTAGATATGGAAACTGAGGGTGTGGGAAGCACCAGGGAGGAGCAGCAATAGGAGCAGTTTGTGATCCCGTGGAGCCGGTGGCAGGACCCGGTTCCCCAGGCCTAGGGCTGGGCAGGAGGAGAGGACTCAGGAGACACGGCTGGGCAGGTGGGACTCGGAGCCAAGGAAATGCGGCTGAATTCCCTGTTGGCACTTCCTGCTGCCCGGCCTTGTTGGGCATCTGGTCAGTCCTCTCTCTAGTCCACCTCCCTACCTCAAGGATCCTTGACTCTTCTCCTATGGCCCACAGACCCCACATCTCTCCCCAGTTGTCCTTCAGTGATGCTCATTCCCTTAATGACTCCATCTTCGGGCCCCATCTCACCAGGATCCCTCCCACCAAGATGGATCAACCATAAGTCAATCTCTCTTGACCTCTGTACTGCCAGACCACCCCAAAGATCTGGGATGCCTGCTTCTTCAACCCCCAGTCTTTCCTTCACTTTCTCAAGCTTTGCACCTCACTCCATACACAACCTTAGGAGGTAGCTGATATGATCAACCCACTTAAGGTGGGGGACACCAAACCCCAGAGAAACCGTGGGTAGGCAAGGTGGAACTAGCTTGTTCCTAGTGCATCTGATTCCATGGGGGAGAATAACCGTGTGGAGTGCTTAGAGCAGTGCCCGCAATGACACAAGCACTTGATACATTGGGTGATGCACACTCTTTTCTGGCAGAGAGCTGACAAGATGCTCCTGGGGCCTGGGTGAAAGATGCACCCCAAAGCAAGGCTGACCCAGCCCAATAGGCCATCTCAGCCTCAAGGGAGCCCTCCCCTGCCAGCCTCCCTCCTGGGTTCCCACCAGTCCCTGTCCCCAGCATTGCTCCCCACCCCCAGAGAGAGAGGCTGTCCTGGCTCCCAGCCCCCTCCCTGGACTGGTACTCACCGGTTCTTCTCCAACTCCAGGAGGATCTCCTGGCCTCCAGCCTCCAAGGCTACCAGCCCCGTGTCGAGCTTCAAGACCTGGGCGAGAAGGAGTGCAGGGCTGAGGTGGCAGGCAGCCTGGCCTCCTGCCTGCCAGGGAGCTGGTGGGTGGGGAGCCAGCCGGCCAGGGAGTTCATGGGGAGAACATGGGGGTCAGGGGCAGAAGGGTCCCCGCTTGCCTTCGTGGGCATGGGCGGGTGTGGGGGTGAGAGCATGCTGATGGGCATGGGTGGTGTGGGGGTGAGATGTTCCCAAACTCAGGATGTTTGTTCTGACAACAGCCATTTGACGTAGCTGCTAGGGACACACGGCTGCCTCCCTAGAGAGACGAGGGGGCCCAGAAAGGGACCCTGCCTTGCTCAAGGTTACTGGGCCTTCCCGTTGGCTCTTCCCCCTCTTTCATGCCGAGGCTTCCCCTAGGCAGGAAGGAAGTGGGGTCCTGAAGACAGTGCAGGGGGTGGGTGGATGTCAGGTAGCCATGGCTCGGGCCTCACAGCCTCTTGTTTTGGCATCTTTTCTCCCCGCTCCCGGTAGAATTCAGACTTTACCCCTCCACCTCCAATTCTGACAAAACGTCAGGCCCTGAAATTCCTCGGTCTCCAGCAGGCTCACCCACACCTGTTTCACGGATCCTATGAAGTAAACACAGACCCCTTGCCTAGGCCAAGAGAAAAACACTGGTGTTCTTGGCCAGACTGTGGGGGAGTGGGGCGGGGAGGGCGTGGGCCTGGCCAGCAGGCCGGCCTCTCCTTCCCTGCTTCCCACGTGGAAAGCCTCATCTGCCTCCCTCGTCCACTCAGCCTGGCTGGGGGCCCAGAGGCAGCCCAGGAGCCGCGGGAGAGCTGCTGGGTCTTCGGAATGCTAGCCCCAACCCTCGCTGGCCCTTCCTTTTTAGTCCACAATGCACGGGCTGGGCCGGAGGCCAAGGGGCTCACAGTCTTGGAGTGGAGACTTCCTCCGCAGGTGGGGAGCAGACAGCTCCCTGCCCCAGCAGGAGCCCAGCAAGGCCCCAAGCTTGAGCTCATGGGGCCGGAATGCCACTTGCTTTATTGGAGAAAGGTTTGTACCAAGGAAAGGCAGCGCCCCCAATGAAAAGCCTCCTCCTGCCACCCCCAGACCCCAGAATCCCCTCTCTGTCCCTCTGCACCTCTGTGCCCCTGCTGTCCTCACTTCTTGCCCTCCTGGTGCCTTTACCCTTCACTATGTATCCCATCCCTGACCTGAAATGTGTTTCCTTCTGCTGGGAAACACTCCCTGCCTCAACACTGACCTCATGTCAGCAGGCTCCCTGGGGGCAAGGGCCGGTGAGTGGGAAAAGCAAGGCCCCCCTGGGATTCCGCTCCTGGTCAGAGTCCAGGCCAGACCAGGAGGGTCCACAGTCAGGGTGACTCCAGCGTGAGCCCAGCCTTTCCCTCTGCTGGTGACGTCCAGGAAAATGATCTCAAAGCTTGGGCCAGCGCCATGCTTGAATGGGGACCCTGAAGGTCTGGAGGACCCAGCGAGGGAGCTGTGGGCCTGTGTCAGCCTCCCGGCCTCATGGCAGTGCTCTCCTGTCTTCCTCCAGGGCCAGCGTGGCTTGGACAATGGGTTGTCCTTTCTTGCCTGAAAATTCAGGGTGAAGAGTGCTCTCTAGGTTTGGGGGACAATGGCCAATGGTTTGAAGTCTTTCAGACCCTAGTGGGTCTCAGACTTCCAGGCTAAAGAGCTGTGTGAACTTGGACAGTTTCTCCAACCTCTCTGGGCTTCCCTGTGCCCCTCTCTGAGATGGGCATACCGAGGCCACTGGCCTCCTGGGTTGCAGCACAGCTAGCTCTGTGGCACATGTGGGTGGGGCTATGGTTATTCTGAAAGTGTGTGATGGGTGGGTGTTGGGAGGAGATTGGGGCAGAGCATCCTGGAGAAGCAAAATGGGGTGAGCTTGCATCTGAGGGCCACCAGAAGAGTGACCACTACCCCCTGGACAGAAGTGGATTCTGCATGAGCCCGTGAGGCTGAAGTTTCAGGCCCCTTGATGGCAGGGTCCTGGAGGGGACAGCAATGTGTCCACAGGGTCACATGTTCTGGAAAACTTTGCGAAAGGCAAAGTTTCTGTTTTCTTAAAGAGATCCCTGAAGTTTCGTGCCTGGAGAGTTGTGGGAAGGGAGAGAAAGAGGAGGCGGTGGGAGTGAGGGGGAAGCCTGAAAATGACTTCCATGTGTGCAGGCTCACATAATCTAGATGTCTCCCCACCCCTGCCGGCTAACCCTTCCGGGAGGAGCCTAAAGGGCTGGGAGGGGAGCTGAGGGAACGCAGTAAAACTGCCACACTGCAACCTGGGGAGGGGCCAAGGGGCTGGGAGAGCCTGGGCCCCGCAGAGGAAGGGGTGATGTGGCACTGACCGGCTCCTCCAGGGTGACCATGCGCCAGGCTCCTCCGTCCAGGACCCAGAGAGGGGTGACTGGCTCTCCGGGGGTGTTTCCTGGTGTGAGGACAGAGCAGAGGGTGAGGGGGAACCTGAGGAGCAGAGGGGAGCAGGGACAACAGAGGGATGGGGGTTGACCATCCATCTTCAACAATCCATGGGGTGCCCTGGGAACCGAGGAGCAGCCTGGGGGGTGGCAGAAGAGAGATGAGGAGCCTAGGAAGGATAGTTCAGCTGGGGATGCTTGGAGCCCCGCTGACCTTGGGGGAGGGCTTGGTGTCAAAGGTCACGAGGGAGAGACCAAGGCCACCAGTGCAAGGGGGAAAGAGGAAGGCAGCCTGGGATATTTTTAGACTGGGCAGCAGATGCCTTCAGGGTGAGAGATCTGTGAAGAGGATGCCTGTGTCTCCACCACGCTCTGAGAAAAACAACAGCTAGATGTTTTCTTGGGAGGCTCACGTTGCTCAGAGCTGCCTTTGGGGGCTTCATGCAGGAAGTGGGGCTTCCAGGGACCCTGGCCCCGAGGCTGGGGGACAGAGCCTGAGTGCTCCCAGCGGGAGTGGGTGTGCTTCAGGAGCTCCAGGAGGAATACCAGAGCCAAGCATTACTCAGAGGAAGCTGGAATGCTCCCCTGGAATGCCCCCAATCATCCTCCTCCCAAGGACTACAGTAACTTCGCACTACACCCCCCTGCAGGAGCCAGGCCCCAGGCAGCCCAGAGCCTGCAGGCAGCCCACCCACCCCTCTGGCACTCAGTCCTGGGGAAGCCCAGCTCCCAGAACTGACAGCTCCGCCACCTCCACCCAGCCCTGCCCAGGCTGAGACGCTGGCCTGTGGAAGTGGCTCAGCAACTGCCAGGCCACCCCAACTCCTTTCTCCTTCTCTGTCTCCTCCCCAGACCCCATCATCAAAGACCTGGAATAGCAGCAACTCCAGGAGCTCCCTTCCTCCAAGAAGCCCTCCCTGATTGGATGAGTGAGTTGCTATCAAGCAGTTGCCATCAGACAGGGCAAGTGTGGGCAGGGGTCTGAGCGCTTCTGGGGAGAGGGGAGGATCTCTTAGCCCAGAGAGGATTTCACTGGGTGTGGAGAACCAGGTCTTGCTGGGCCCAGGCCTCCCACATATTGACCTCTGGCACCTTGATGGGGGAGAGGGAGGCAGAGATGGAGCTGTGGTGGCTAAGTGAAACTAGGGGAGCCAGTGTAGTGTTGGGGAGCATAGAGCCCCTCTCCACTCCTCCCAGGGGGTTGCATCCCCCTCCCCTGACTCCAGGCTGCGGAGGAGGAATCAGTGGAATGCCTGGGGACCATCACCACGAGAATGAGGGCTGTGGTCCCTCTCCCTGAGGGTTCAGGGGTCCTATCCCTGTTGGGTTCCCCCTCCACAGTGCTCTGCAAACTACCCCCTTCCCAGCCCAGCCTGTCCTGCCTTCTCCCTGACCCTCCCAGGCACTTAATGTCCAGGCCTCTACCAATCCTCCCACCTACTCAGAGCTGCTGATCCGGTCCCGCCTCACAGAGGGTTGAAGAGGTTACCTTCTGTGAGAAGCCCTCCTCTAACCAAACATGGCAACAGCATAAACTAGTTACACACTGGCCCAAGGCCCAGGATGGGGGTGAGCTTGGGTGATGGGTGAGTGTGGAGGTCACAGTCAGTGCCCTGGTCTGAGATCACAGCAGGGTTGGGGGGGGGGGGGGAGGGTTGGCAGTGGGCTAGGTGCTTTCCCGAGGAGGAAGACCCTTGAGCCCTAAGGGATGGAGGTGCAGGAATGTTTCCACTGGAGGTGGGGCCTGGGAATCCAGGCAGAGGGATTTGAGGGGGCGGCGCTGCTCAGAGGATAAGGATTCCTGCCCCTCTGCCTTGCGGCGGGCACAGTGGCAGTTGGGCAGAGTGTGCAAGTCTGGGCCCTTAGGCCAAGTTCAAGTGAGAATCCCTGGGCAGGTCCCAGGGAGACCTTCCCAAACCCTCTCTAATTCCCCGTCCTGGTGGCGCATTCCCGAGAGGGGGTTGGGGGTCTGTTCAACCCCTCCATCCCCTGACAGTGACCAAGCCTGCCCCTCGGGGCGCTCCCACTCACCGCGGAACGCCTCGGCCCCCCACACCGACCACGGTAGTCGCAGCAGCAGCAGCAGCAGCCAAGCTGGCGGCGGCGAACCTGGAGCCCTCAGAGGCCCCCGGCCCATCGCTGTGAGCGCCTGGCCCTGGCCCT